TTATTTCGCGTAATATTTTCTCTATTTTAAACATCTAGCAGTTAAATGCTTAAAACATAAATATAATAAAAACGCTCTCATAAACTATATATAAAAATAAACTAACAAATTAAAAAAAAATACAGCAAAGAGCTGTAAACTGTATAATAATAATAATAAGTTATTTATTTGTTTCAACATACAATTGGTACAATACACAAATAGAATGACAGTAAATTTTTATTGAAACATAAAGGTATGGGGCTCAGCATGTGACAGTCAAGTTTTGACTTGTCTGCCTCACAATTATTAAAATCTTAAAACACATTAATTAAGACAACATCAGCAATTTGAGACAATAATTTAGTTTAAAATACTACAGCAATTAAATAGCATCATATATTGTACTTGCCGCCTCGTATTGTTGTTCTCTTATTATATAAAAAGATTAAAGTATTATATCGTTTTAAACTTACATGGTCACTGAAATTATTATATTATTACCATGGTAACAATCCCGTTAATAGTTGTAAAGTAAGTTTAATTTTAAGCATTTAACTGCTAGATTTATACATAAAACTATATGTTCTTGTTAAGGATTTTTTAGAAAGCAGTTTACTCGCTTGTGTCTCATGACTTGCGCGTGTACACGAGAATCATAGTTCACAGCGGCGGTGGCGGGGCGTGGCGGGTCCCTTGTTCCGATTATTAATTTATCGCCGATTGCAGTTTGGCTGTAGTTTGCATTCGATTTATTTTTGCACGGCGCAAGTGATGACCGCCGCCAGGATATGCAAAGCCGACATAGAGAATAGAGTATGAAATTTTAAATTGATGCTTAATGACTGTGCCACAATCCTCTGTTTTTGAGTGTCTGTAACATTAGAAACAAGATGAAAACACAAACAGACCACACATAATACTACCTTTTAATTTAAACATTTAACTGCTGAATGTTTAAATCTCAAGAAAAAATTACTAGAGAAACATCCACGCGTACCAGGCAGCAGCAGCATCAAATAAAAATATAACTATAATCACTATTTCTTCTTTCAAATGTTTAATACTTGTAAAAGTATTCATTTGACATTGTGGGTTACCTACATTGCGAAAAGATGGCGCTTCCTTGCGGCTAAACACTAGATAAAAATAGACACGGCCATCATCGGCGGGCCGCGGTAGCATAATAGTCAGTGCATTCGCCCGTATAGCGAATGGTGCGGGTTCGAGACCCGTCTGTTCCCTGGTCTGCGTGGAATTTATTCTAGTATTTTTTTCTTTGGATTAATACCTTTAGGTGGTGTTGTTTCTGTTGGTAATTAAGGTTATAGGGCTCCAAGGGGTAGGAGATTGGATCAGGGTAACATCCATAGGCTATGTTGGTTGCTTACCACCAAGCGGGTCACATGCTCATTTGCCATCCTTTTAATATAAAAAAAGAAAAATATTCACGAGAAGCTCATTTCTAAAATAATAAATAATAATAAAATATTTCCAACACTCACACCAATTAGCCTAGCCCCAAAGTAAGCACTATAAGGCTTGTGTTATGGGATGCTAGGGTAACGGATAGAATACATATACTGTACACATATAAGTATATTTATATAGAAATAGATATTTAACATCCATGACTGGAGTACAAATGCTCGTATTCATCACACAAACATCTGCCCCCACCGGGATTCGAACCCGAGACCTCTCGAGTCGGCGACACCATGAAACCCGGCGTACAAACCACTCGGCCACGGAGGTCGTCAAAAATAACGTAATAAATAGAATAAATAAAGGAGTTATGTTTTTTTTTAAGCATTTAACTGCTATTTTAAAAAAAAAATGGTTGCCTGTAAAGTCGGTTTTACGGGCGAAGATTTTACGTGACAACGTCTTTTTCTCGGTAGAATATTTATTGATATGAATATAATTAAATTGCACAATAGGAACAAGGAATTGAATGAAAATAAGAATTGCACAAATTTTAACTATAGAAATATATTTTGTTTACTAAAACATTGTACATGTAAACTTAAACTTAACACGAGAGACTCATCGTAACGTTACCGAGCGTTACACTTTTTCATAAGTGACTCCCAGCCGCAACCTAATTTAAGACGTTGTCACGTCAAAAAACAGAAACATAATTGAAATCGCTCTCCTCCCATGACTTGTACCACTCAATTATGAATTATCTTAACTTCGTTCGCTTGTACCATTTGTTCGAAAGTTGTGCATTGTCTCTGTCGTGTCGTTTGATAAGTCTTCGGTTTTAATATCTTTATAGACTATTGTTTTCTTTGAACTAAGCTGTTGTAGACAAAACTTTTTCAATATTCTATTGAGTGAGGAGAAGTTTGGCTTCGTTGCATTCCAGAATTTCAGTTGTTTTAGGAAGTTTGTCTCTATGAATAGAAGCGCCCGTCTGTCGTACCTAAGTAGCATGCGTCTCCTTCCAATGCTGTCAAATAACACTATTTGCGGAGCGGGTTTTCTACTCGAGTTGGAGCGCCCGTCTGGGGAAGAATCTTCACTTTGCAGAAGATTACAGTAAAATAACGCTACCTTTTGGTGGTGTTCAGTGTTGCCAGTACCGATTTTAAAAAATCGGGAGGCGTTAAATAAAACAGCAGTAGATGTATGGAAAGAGCTACAAGAAAAAACAGTACTTTTTCCATTTGTACCCCCCCCCCCCAGCCCCTTTGAATTGGTAAATCAAAACAAGATATAGACCAGTAACGAATGTGTTTCTGTGGCTTCTTCCGCCCCTCAAAGCTGTTTATTTTAGACAATACCTTATTTATTTTATAACTAGCGGCCCGCCCTCGCTTCGCTTCTGTGTAGAGCTGAAGTGTAGACTACAGTTTTTGTTCTCAGGCTCGTATTATATACAATGACATTCATCTATGATTCTTCTTATACCTGCATGCAAAGTCTCAGCCCGATCGGTTTAAATTTGCCAAAGTTTCATTCCCTATTTTATCCCCTTGGGGGTAGAATTGATCAAAATCCTTTCTTAGCGGATGCCTACGTCATAACATCTACCTGCATGCCAAATTTCAGCCCGATCCGTCCAGTGGTTTGGGCTGTGCGTTGATAGATCACTATGTCAGTCAGTCACCTTTGAGTTTTATATATACTTATAGATAATGAAGGTCCCCTACATTGTTATTGGCGGAAAACGCAGCTCAACATGCAATTTAAGAAAGAAAATCGTATGTAGAAAAACAGTACAACGGGAGAAATTTCAGAGAAACAGGAGGTCTCCTGTAAAATCGGGAGTCCTGGCAACACTGGTGGTGTTGTGTGTCTATCGGTGAGCAAGGTTCTAGTGCACCACGGGGTGGACGATGAGGTCAGGGTAGGCAACGGGGTAAGGTGATATTTCTGGTATCGCAAGCGTCTGGCTATGGTAACCGCCTACCATCAGGTGGGCTATACGGTTGTAAGACACCCTTTTAGTGTCGCCGCACACGGGCCACCGACTACAACCACAAAACGCCGCCACCGGCATATTTCTTGTAGTTTTCATACATTTTATATGGACTCGCCACACACGGTACGCCGGTGGCCGCCACACGCTACAAATCGTCGTTGCCCGCTTCTTGTGGCCCGCACCGGCCACTTAATGCGCCGATACAAAACGCCGCCACACGTCACTCACGCGGTTCCCCACCCCTCTCTCCCTTACCTTAGCCGGCCGCTGTCGCGTGCTTCAGCCACTTTAGTAGCCGCTTCTAGCTTTTAGTGGCGGCGTTTGTGGCTGTGGCGTGTGGCCCGTGTGCGGCGACACTAGGGGTGGGGAATCGCGCGAGTGACGTGTGCCGGCGTTTTGTATCGGCGCATTATATGGCCGGTGCGGGCCACAAGAAGCGAGCAACGACGATTTGTAGCGTGTGGTGGCCACCGGCGTATCGTGTGTGGCGAGTCCATATAAAATGTATGAAAACTACAAGAAATATGCCGGTTGTGGTCGGTGGCCCGTGTGGGGCGACACTTAACCTCTCAATCGTGGCAGTGAAATTTGAAACTCGTCATAACGACGTCATTCATCAACAAAATGGCGTCTCAAATCAAAATGGCTTCGGCTTCGATAAAAAAAATATTACGCTGTAGCCAAACCATGAATTATAAAAAATACACGATTTCAAAAGCAGGAGGTTTTCAATTCGTCAGTTTAGTGGTCTGATTATGATAAGGTTTGCCTCTCAAAATCTGAATCTGATTTCCATATAATTTGATGCATGCGGCGCGTCTATTGCAATCTAGGTCTGTGTGTGTTCTAAGCGCTTTCTGCTTTCTACGTGCAGGTGTTGGAAGGAAAAACAAGGGGGGGGGGTCTTCCACCGAGATGAGTGATGTTAGTTTGGCATTGCATATATGAAGAGTTACAGTCAGTTGCAGAAAGCATCCCATAAGAAACTCATTAGTTAATTAGTCATTAGTACTAATAACTTCATTAAATTTAAAGACGTTGCACAAAACAACTACAGCTCCTTTTAAAGGTCCTTTAGCTAAAGAACACATAATGGCGACATTAAACACTGCTACCAACACTTCTATTGCGCGAAATTTCTTTTGCGCGATGTAGACTCCCATATTATTTTGAGTGCGGCGCCAGTAGCGCCATCTACCTGTTGTCATGAACCATATAGTCTTGCTTTGTCAATTATATGTGGGGCGTATAGATGTCGCCACCACAGATGCACTAATCGCTAAACTATCCAAAAAAAAGTCTTTAGATTCATTAAATACATTTTTTTAGTGGAGTTCGATGGCGCAAATGGTTAGAGCGTTCGGCTGCGATCGTTGAAGTTAAGCAACTTTCACAGTGGACGGGTGACCAACAATTTACTATCTCGAGCTCCTCCGTGCTTCGGAAGGCACGTTAAGCCTGACGACGAAGGCATGTGTCCCAGCAGTGTGGACATCAATATGCTGATGATATATTCCCTTGTTATCAGATTCTACGACGCTGCAACCAACGGTGGAGACGACTGCCCCCCGGCAGCCAAGCGCGCGCCCAGCCTGTTCCTGCACCCGTCGCCGTTCCTCTACCCGCTGCCCAGCAATGCCAGCTTGTTCGACTACACGCACCCCTGCCACTACCCCGCCCAGGGGGACCCTGGCTTCGAGAGGAGAGACGGTCAGTCTCTTTTCAATCATCTTTTTTTCAATGCCATTTTGTTGACGAAATCCGTGCCGTGGTGGAGTGGTATGAACAAAAATTTTCCAGATATCAACAACTGCAACTGGAAGTGCGAGTCTTGCTCTATTGAGATATGACCAACGATATTAAATACCCTAGATGCACCAACACGAACAAAATCATGCCCGAAACCTGTCCAAAAGGTACATTGAACGATCCATGGAGCTCCGTAAAATGATCGCGTAGTCTAAACAATATAAGGCATTATTTAAACATTGAAAATCACCTTTAAAGCACAAGGTGTAAGGTCTTAATCAAAACGCATGCGTCAAACAGTTATGACAGTCCGAGATGTAAGCTCGTAAATTTTTACGACTTATTGCTATATATGCGGAAGAATATAGACCTTATTTCTTTGACTCTATAACCAACTCTTAATGCGCTGTTAGCATTATAGCAGGTACGGACCGAGAGGAAAAGAGACGGCTATATTACCAACTATGCATGTGAATATCACAAATTTTTCTATTAAATCAGTTTATAGTAAGTATTAAAACAAATTTTACTTCAAACGCGTTAAATTAACAATCATTGATTAGATACCTGTCGAAAAACGTCATTTTACATACTATATGTATTTATTTCGCATTTTTCACGGAGCTCAGCGGCATGTTGACCTTTCAACGGTCCGCGCGTGACTGTGAACCAAGAAGTGCTTGAGTCGTGTTCAAGCAACACACATTTAGAGCGCACGTGGTGCATCTAGGGTATTTAATATCGTTGGATATGACGCCAAAAACTTCACTAAAGGCTGATTTACGCTAGGGCAACACTGTGCGTCATTGCGTCATGCTCAAATAATTAAAAATGTCGCAAATTGTGGCAAGGAGTCATGCGGCATGGCAACACATTGCGTCATTTGGCCAATTTTTGGTGCAACAAAACAGTTTACAAGTTATGTCTTGCTTGTTTGTGTATTTGAAAGTGAGAATTATCGGTCATGTAGTGGTGTAACAAAACTATTTCAACTTCATTGAGGATTACAACTTCATTGAGGATTAGAAAGAGTCTTGTGGGATATCCACAATTCAAAATTTGAATACAATAGAGTGAAACGTGATGTTTTACTACTCTTGTCTTGGACAAACATACGATTTAGATGCTTGATCAGCCATGTTCTACCTTCGAACTAGCAAAAACCAAAACACTCCAATATTTTCGCCACAATAGGGATGATGTCCAAATTTTGTTTCTTCGTTTATCAGGTAGATTATCAAAAAGTATTGGACACGTATTTTTTCTTTTTTCACGTAATATAAACATTGCGAAGATATATTGATTTTGATAAGTCGCATGACGTCACGTTTGAGTACACTTATAAGTGAAAATTCACTCAACAGTGACGTCACAAGCCCCTACTCCCAAACTTTGACGCGCTATAACTTTGTCATTTTTTGGTTGATTGCCCAAAGAAAAAATACGTGTTCATTATTTTTTGATCATCTAACTAACGGACTAAATAGAATTTCGTTTACTGCACCCCGCCATCACTCCTATTCTTTGAAAATGATGATGTAGGATGTTGTCTCGGCGTTAATCAGACTGCCGCTTGTCGCAAATGCCGCAAAATGTTTCTATTTGTATCATACCAACAAATAACCCATGCCACCTTAAGTAGTATGAGTCACTGTCGCATGCGGTTGCCTCGGTGTAAACAAGCCATCATCATCATCATCATCAGCCTATTAATGTCTCCACTGCTGGGGCACAGGCCTTCCCTATGGATGGAATAGGGAGATTGGGCCATGACCCACCACGCGGGCCTAGTGCGGATTGGTGGGTGCTAACAACTGCAAATGCAGCCGGGACCAACGGCTTAACGTGCCTTCCGAAGCACGGAGGAGCTCGAGATAGTAAATTTTTGGTCACCCATCCAATGAACGACCACTGCGAAAGAACTTCAACGATCGCAGCCGAACGCGCTAGCCACCTGCGCCATCGAGCTCCTCTGCGCCATCGAGCTCCTCCAGCCAGCCATAATATTCATCTATTGTTTCCAGGTGGTATAACAGTCCGCGACGTGTCCACCATGAACGCGTCGTTTCCCGAGTCGCGGCCGGGACCGTCCCGGAACGATGACGAGTGGAAGAACATCAACACCATGCTGAACTGCATCCTCAGTATGGTGGAAAAGACGAAAAGGGCGCTGGCCATATTGCAGCAAAGAGGTCGGTATACTCGTGTCGTAATATAAAACTCAAAGGAGAATGACTGACTGACATAGTGATCTATCAACGCACAGCCCAAACCACTGGACGGACCGGGCTGAAATTTGCCATGCAGATAGATGTTATGACGTAGGCATCCGCTAAGAAAGGATTTTGATCAATTCTACCCCCAAAGGGATAAAATAGGGAATGAAAGTTTGTATGAAACTTTGTCAATTTTAAACCGATCGGGCTGAGACTTTGCATGCAGGTATAAGAAGAATCATAGATGAATGTCATTGTGCATAATACAAGCCTGAGAACAAAAACTGTAGTCTACACTTCAGCTCTACACCGAAGCGAACGGGGCGAGTTGGGTCCATAAAGTTCTAGCACATATTTTTAACACCGTAATACCTTTTTAAATCTACCTTCGTACGGTCACCCCCACACCGTCAAATATTTTTTCCGTCCTCAAAACCGTTACGTGAATTCTCCAGCAGCTTATACTCAAAAGACTGGACGGGACCAAAAGCCTTGGTCGTTTGTTGAAAATTTCTTTTGGCTGTCCTAGACGTTCTGCTCCACATAGATAGCTCATATATTGTGGGAGTACCTATCCAGGTGCAAGGTTCATCATCATTATCAACCTATTAATGTCCCCACTGAAGGGGCATAGACCTTCCCTATAGATGGCACAAGGAGATTGGGCCATGACCCACCACGCGGGCCCAGTGCGTAACGACTATAGATGCAGTCGGGAGCAACGGCTTACCGAGCCCCGAAGCACGGAGAAGCTCAAGATAGTAAATTTTTGGTCACCCATCCTGTGACCGACCAATGCGAAAGTTGCTTAACTTCAACGATCGCAGCCGAACGCACTAACCATTTGCGCCATCGAGCTCATCAATGTTCCCCCTTATATTTATCTGCCGCTCTCGAGTAAATCCTAAAACATTAGCTTGGGCTCTCCTACTATTGATAGATCAATGATAAATTTTCTGATGATAACCACATTTAGGTGAAGAGGTGAACAGTTTTTAGAATACTAGCCACCCATCATACTATTAGATTTCTACGAGCACAGTGCTTAGCTAAACATAAGCCAAGTTTTCTTAAGAGCCCTTTCACATTTTTCGCAATAATCGTAATTTTTGAGCGCCTCGTTTACCCCCTTAGATAAGATTTTGACTATTTCCAATTAAAGTAAACAGTAGTTTTATTCTTCCTATTGTAAGTTAATGTAGAATATTTGCAATTACTATTTTCCTTTTTCTGTACTGATCGTTCTAATGCAGCTAGTTTACAGAAAAAACGATAATATGCACAACTTCAAACGCCTCAATCTCTCAATAATGCTCAATAAATTAGATCAAATTAATTTCTACGACATCGGAAATATGTTTTTGTTGTAACATAATATATTAGAATTTTGAATTTCCATCTCATTAATTATCAGAAAAAACATCTAACCTCCGTGATTTTTCCCCAAAAATAATGCAGGTTTACCTCGTATTTTGATATTGAATTAAACAGAACTACTATCAAAAACTTTCATAAAACTAATCTACCATCATTGAACTAATGATATATTTATATATTTTTATAATTAGTTCATTAATAATTATTTTATAAGACTGGCCGGTCATGGGATGGATGGGCATAAAAAATATCTCGAGTTACTCCGTGCTTCAGAATGCATGTTAAGCAGTTGATTTCGACTTCATCTGCAATCGTTAGCCCACGTTAGGTTAGTTCCTGGTCCAATCTCCCTATACCATCCATAAAGAAGATCCGTGCCCCATCAGTGGCGAACGAAAAAAAAGGTTTTATAGGCCTTACAAATACGTAGGTAAAAAAAAAAACAATATGGAGGGCGCAAAAATGTCAATCAGGACCTTTCATCAGCTTAATGCTGTTATAGTAGGAAGGTAATATTCCCAACATAACAGCGCTGGTATTCTGGACATTAATAGGTTTATGATGATGATATTTTATATACCTATGTCAGCGCATTGTGTCTTATGAAAGTTGTGATTGCAGGCGTGGAACCGACAGAAAGTAGCGACATAAAGCGTGCCGCCAGCGAGATTATGGCGGCTGCGGTGCGGCAGACGGAAGAAAGAGTGGCAGAAGTCAGGAGACGAGCTGAAGATGCCGTCAACCAGGTATCCACCAGGGAAACTACGTTATAGATAAGTAATTACAATATCCTTCATGAGATCATGGCAGCTGCGGAGCGGCAGACGGAAGAAAGAGTGGCGAAAGTCAGCAGACGTGCTGAAGATGCCGTCAACCAGGTATCCACCAGGGAAACTACGTTATAGATAAACAATTACAATATCCTTCATGAGATCATGGCAGCTGCGGAGCGGCAGACGGAAGAAAGAGTGGCCGAAGTCAGGAGACGAGCTGAAGATGCCGTCAACCAGGTATCCACCAGGGAAACTACGCTATAGATAAACAATAACAATATCCTTCATGAGATCATGGCAGCTGCGGAGCGGCAGACGGAAGAAAGAGTGGCGAAAGTCAGCAGACGTGCTGGAGATGCCGTCAATCAGGTATCCACCAGGGAAACTACGTTATAGAAAAGTAATTACAATATCCTTCATGAGATCACGGGAGAAAGAGTGCAGGAAGTCAGGAGACGAGCGGCAGATTCCGTCAACTAGGTATCCACCAGGGAAAGTAATAGTATTTTTTGCAGCCAGAATCTGTGTTGAATATTTGTTACAGTGTCCTTCATGAGATCACGGGAGAAAGAGTGAAGGAAGTCAGGAGACGAGTGGAAGATTCCGTCAACTAGGTATCCACTAGAGATGTAACGAATGTCATTTTTTGAACATTTAGTTTTTTTTTAAATTGGCATGGTGGCAGTCTCATTCGAATTGCCGAGTTGATATGAACTCATCCAACTGAAGTGTCATTCCGCTCGCACCGGTCTTTCCGTAAACAAAACAAGTGAATTATGAGGTAAGTGATTGTGAGTGGTAATAGTGATTTATTAACTACTTACTTTATGAGTAAATCGAATTCTAGTGAAACGTGGACTTATTTCACACTATGCGATGCTGAACGAGCTAAATGCAAACTGTGTAACAATGAATATTCAAGGCAGAACTACAACTACTTTAAATTGTTTTTTTCTAAAATTCATATTCGCAAAATATTCGTAGAGATTTTGCGAATGCGAATGCGAATATTCGTTACATCACTAGTTTCCACCAGGGAAAGTAATAGTTTTTTTGCAGGTTTGGTTATATATTTTTAATTATTGATAGCTGTTTATTCGTTGTTCAGGTTAAACGGCAGGCGTTGGTAGAACTTCAACGAGCAGTAGGTGCAGCGGAGGCGAAAGCTCTAGAGCTGGTGGTAGCAGAACGCAGTAAAGAAACGCATCCTCCCCCGCCTCCGCCTCCGCGAGACTTGAGCCCTGGAGCCGCCGCTCAACAAAATGTGAGTATAGTAATAGCCAATGTAACAGTTCTATTAGATGATCATAGTAAAATAGTAGAGTAGCATCTAGCTATCGTTTAAATAAACGGCGTTTTTCGCTAAACGGCAATATAGTAACCAATCAGTGTTTATTTATAATAAAGTCAATAAAATATTAAATATATACCATATGAAAAAGCACGAGTGTAAGGAAGTAGCTGAGAAATGGCTAAAATCATTAACTTATGAAGAGACGGAAAATATTTAAAAAAGAATTGTATAGATTAAAGAATTAAAAATATAATAATGTTTATTTCTTTTAATACACATAATAAAATATTCTTAACTACACTACACTCTCACACATACTCACAATACACAGACTCACACCACACTCTCAACAAATCATGCTCACACACTTCTCATGCACTAAATGTGGGGACAACCTACTCACATAAAGATGATTGTCTTGTTTTAAATTGTGTAATTAATATATATTAAATTATATTAATATATATTTTCTTCTAAATATTTTTGTTAACTGGCTACAAAGGTTTAGGAACGAAACAGGCCCAACACAAGTATTTTATAATTACTTACTGGGACCGTTTCATCGTTTTTAAATTGTATGCATTTATGTTAATAAAAATACTTTTTATTTATTTAAATAGAAAAGAATGGGTAAACGAATGGAGTAACCCAAGTTAATGTCCCAACATGAAGCCAAGGGAGTACGACTCACCGGTATTAAACTGCTTATGGCCGTATGATAGGGCTGAAATTACCAGATTGACTGGACTTGGCTGGATTGTCCAGCTATTTCACACGTTGTCCAGTGTCCCGGTTTTAGGCAAAATGTCCAGCTAAAATGAAGCTGGAAATTAAAAACCACCAGTATTAGTGGTTTTCCACCGAGTTGGCAACACTGCCTACGCGGCGGCCTCTTGCTATCTATGCCCGGGATTGAATTCAATTATTCGATTGAACTTTGACGAAACTTGTACTAAATTTAAATCTTTTCTAAATACAGATAAATGTTCTAAAATGATAAATGCGGCTAAAGGAAATGCTAAATATATGTGGCAGAAAAAGTGATTTCATATTAATTTTGTTTGATTAAGGTTCCTCTGTTTTGTAAAAGTAAAAAAAATATATGATGATGCTGATTAATGTATGTGGCAAAAAAGTTATTTCATATTAATTTTGTTTAATTAAGGTTCCTCTGTTTTGTAATAATAAGAATTTTTATAGTCATGCTGATTTTTTTTGTCCAGCCAAAAATCCTAATGTCCAGATATTTTATAATATTGTCCAGAAATTTTGATTTCTCAATCTGGTAACCCTAGCTGAAATCCAGTTATGGGGCACTTCACTAACAGTATAAGTATTCCACACACGGTGTTAGACACAGTAAACTGTTGTTTCTTCAAATGTTTTTAACGCACGGCGTTATTACGCTGCTTCGCGACCCGGGCCACAGGCGAAACAGGACGTTTCTTATTAGTTTTTCATAGAGGGCGCTACTTGTGTATGGCGGTAGCGGATGTGAGGTACCAACTGCCCGTCGTACGGAAGCCGCATCACATGATTAAATGTAGGAACGTATAACTATGAGTCTATAGGTACTCAAAAAGTAGATTTACAGTTACAAGTATTTATTAAACTAAGATGTAAGTAGGCACATAGACTAGCAGATAAGGGTGTGGGTTAGTATATTCACGAGCAGATATGAGCAATAAATTCCGCTCTACAATCACTGTCCTGAGGTTGTCGGATGTGACAGCAGGATTTCCGGTAGGTAGCCCTTGCAGCACAGGTAGGCAGGTAGACCCAGGTAGTATGGGTAGGTTGCCCGGGTCCGTCTCCTCTCGGTAGGTTAGATTCCCGGATCAGTAGGTACCAATACGGTAAACCCTGGAATCTCCCTCAGCCCTAGCCCCCGGGGACGTATGGAATAGCGTCACCCCGGGACTGGGTCTGACAAAACAGTTAAAAACACATAGAAGAAACAAACCAAATAAAGCAGACTATTTTAATAAAGCGAAGAAAAAAAAATAATAAAAAAAAAAGAAAAAAAAACTTGGAATCTTAAATAGCAGCATTTCGTGTTTGCTAAGCATTTGGAAGCAAGGGGAACAAATGTACGGTGAAATATCTTTAGATTCCCTTAAACTTAAAAAAAAACAAAATTATTCATTCAGCCTAGCATGTTATAAGCTCTTGCCAACGTCAACTCTATCCCTGTTTTATCTTAACAGTGTCATCAAATATACAGGGTGTGACAAATGTCCGAAATAAAACTTTAGGGTTTGGTTGTGTTCCTTGTATAGAATTACCTACGAAAGTTTGACGCCTTTCAGACCACTTTTATTTTCTAATTAAATTAATTAAAATATCGTTTTACACCTGCCTATGACAACCCTATAAATGCGTACGTATTACTACTACCTAAACAGACCCCCCTCTCTCCCCCAGGCGCCCCTGCGCCCCGCTCAGATACCTACAAATTTTTATTTCGGAATACATACGTACAAATTTTATTTCGGAATTCTATAACACCCTGTATAAACAATATTTCTAGCAAAAAACAGCTAAAAAATTATCTAAAGAAATATTACCTATCACTCTGTCCCTAAAATATATATATATTTTTTATTTAGCTATATACATATATATATATATATATATATGTATATGGCTGTGTATGTAGGTATAAGTACACATGCGCGTGCGTGTGTATATTTTGTGTGTATGTGTGTATAAAATGTAAATTATATGTGTATGTGTATATATACATACACAGTAGATAGGTACACGGATATAATGTACGTAAATATAACAGGCAACAAATAGTCATGCCATACGCATGCCATTTCATATATAAATATTTTCCGTTTTTTTTAAGGCACCTATGTTAAATATACTGAGATAAGTACAAAAATAATTATGTAACGTCGACGAGAGCTACTGCCGACAAACTGTTGCACAGTTTGGCAGAATAGAAATAAGTGTTGTACTTAGTTTTCATGAAAAAAAATTTAATAAATAAAAATAATAAAAATAAATATGTTAGACTGGAGCTGGTGGTAGCATCAGGAATAAAACACGTGAGATCTGAACCCGGTAGAGCCACAACACAGTAGAATGTGAGTAGCCTCCTGATATCTATGATAAGAGTTTATTATGATGATATGTATTAACAGATACTATTAGTTCTTTTTGTTTGCATAATTTAACATAAGAAGGAGATAGAAAGCCTCTCTTGAGTTTGTTTCGCCGGTTCTTCTCAGAAAGGTCTCCCAATTTTGGAACCGGTGGTAGTTTACGGTAGTTAGGGTCAAATAAATAAACTCAAAATAAAATACTTTATTTAGTAAATTAAATAATAAATTCATACATAGACAATAAAACTTTAAAAATCGAACAATGAAATAACCGAACGCTCAATAAAAGTCTTTCGAAGGTAACTCGACAAATTAAATAAAAGTTTGATTCTGACGACGTAGCCAGTAAAGGCTACGAAACGTCAATAAATAAATAAATAAAGTTTCGTGCATTAACCCGTAAAAACTAGTTTTATTTAATGAGTGATGTGCGTGAAAACCTAAGAAACAAATAAAGAGTTTTTTAGGTAAAAGCTTTAAAGCTGGTAGTAGCGGAACGGACTAAAGATCTGCAAAGAGACCCGTGAGACCTCAGCCCTGGGGCCACTGAGCATTAGAACGTGAATAGTGGACTGTAGACGCCTATGATCATCATCATCATCATCATCATCAGCCTATTAATGTCCCCACTGCTGGGGCACAGGCCTTCCCTATGGATGGAATACGGAGATTGGGCCATGACCCACCACGCGGGCCCAGTGCGGATTGGTGGGTGCTAACGACTGCAGATGCAACCGGGACCAACGGCTTAACGTGCCTTCCGAAGCACGGAGGAGCTCGAGATAGTAAATTTTTGGTCACCCATCCAATGACCGACCACTGGGAAAGTTGCTTAACTTCAACGATCGCAGCCGAACGCGCTAACCAGTTGCGCCATCGAGCTCCTCCGCCTATGATAAGTTTCTATAATGCGAAGGTGATAGCGAAGCGGATTAAACGTACCCGTTTTTCTTTTAGCGTAACGTTTTTTTTTTAAATTTTTGTACTTTTTCTGTAAGGCTAAGGATGGTAAAAACATTCAGCCTACGTTGTTATTATCTTTTTTTTAAGTGTACATTGGTATGGTTGTATAATTATTATCTGTCTTCAACCTTGGGCCCTGCCAGAATCATCAGCGCTGCAGCAGCCCTGGTGTTGCTGTAGTATCAAGCTGAGGCAGGGACCTAGTTGGCCAAAAATTTTTTTTATTGTTTTTATTTAGGTTAACAATACTGTATTGACTATAAGTCAATAAATTTTATTTCTTTCTTCTTCTTCTTTCTTTACCCGCGTCCACTAAGCCAGTCTCCAGTGATCTCTAGATTCCTATTCCTAAGCTGCAAGGCAGCGCTATTTCTTCGCACTGTAGGTAACCGACAATGTCAAATGAATACTTTTAAAAGTATTAAACATTTGAAAGAAGTAATAGCATTTAAAGTTATAATTTTAATTTTTTAAGCATGCAACTGCCTGATGTTTAAATCTGAAGAAAATATAACTAGAAAAAAATTCCACGCAGATTCCAGCTTAAGAATGGCTAGAAGAATTTCAACGCGGCCGTCAGGGCCGCGGTAGCGTAATTGGTCAGTGCATTTGCCCGGATTGCGAAGGGTGGTTCGAATCCCGCCTGGTGCCTGGTCCGCGTGGATTTTTTTCTAGTTATACTTTCTTTAGATTTAAACTTCAAGCAGTATTTTTTTATTATTCATGTAATTCATTAATTTGGTGTATTCGACAGTGTTGTTGGAACTGCGGTCGTAAAGCGCAGGAGACCTGCTCGGGCTGCAACGCGGCGCGATATTGCGGCGCCTTCTGCCAACACAAGGACTGGGAAAACCATCATCAGGTAACTCCATAATCATCATTATTACTGCTGGGGCACAGGAAGATACCTGTGTCGCTTACTATATTTCTAAATTCAACGGAGGTTTTCATAATTTTTTTGTCAATATTCCCATTTTTTTTAAAGTAATCCCATAATTCTCTGGAATATTTCCAATGAAATGAAATGAAATGTCATTTATTCAGTCTAGGCTGTTACAAGCACTTGTGAAGGTCAAGAAGCTACGCCATCGGTTCGCAAAACTCCGGCGGGAGACCTTGTACTGAGAAGAACCGGCAAGAAACTCAGCAAGGGCTGTTTTTTTCTCCCTGTATTGTTATATACAGTGTCGTCAAGTTGAAAAATTACTTCAGAAATACGTCTGAAGTCACTTTCCATTACATCATCTAGAATATAAATATATAGTTACAATTAATTTTATAGTTAACATTTTAAGTAGTATATAGGAAGCGGCATTAGATAGGTACAATATTACTGTTATGAAAAATGAGTAATACCCATTTAATATCAAATTATAAGAAACACTATGTCCATGCATTACGATCATTTAGATAATCATCAACTTTATAATAGCCCTTATTCATAAGAGTATTTTTGATCTGAGATTTAAATTTAGTCAGTGGAAGCTCAATCAGATCTTGGGGAACTTTGTTAAACAATGCAATACTACAACCCAGAAACGAACCTCTTGATTTTTGGAGTCTGAAACATGGAACGGCAATTTCATAACATTATAAAACATTTTTTCGGACGGAATTAAAATGCGTTTTTAATGTTTTTTTAGTCTTTAGATAATGAAATGCGAAAAGTCGAGTAATGTTAATTACCGTTAAAAACTTATTTTACACCCATTCGAAAAATAATAATGATTGGTGTGCGTGAAAACTTAAGAAACAAATATTCAACATAGATCTAAAGAAAAGTTTACTAGAAAAATATCCACGCGGACCAGGCAGCAGACGGGACTCGAACCCGCACCCTTCGCAATCCGGGCGAATGCACTGACCATTATGCTACCACGGCCCTATTCACCGCGTCGAAATTTTCCTAGCCTTAATCCCCCGGATTGCGAAGGGTTCGAGTCCCGTCCGCTGCCTGGTCCGCGTGGATATTTTTCTAGTAAACTTTTCTTTAGATTTAAACATCTAGCAGTTAAATGCTTAAAAATAAATAAAAAACATCAACACAGATTCTCAAATAATAATATGACGGTATTTAAATTCCTATAGCCTTATCAAAATAATTGGACATCGCCGATTACTCAGATTTTGCAGAATAGTCGACAGTCGAAACCATAAAAGTTCAAAACAATTTACGTAACTAGTTAACTACAATTGCAACAATCTTTTGTACACAGGTTTGCAGCGGCCGCGAACAAAAACCGACCGCTATGCTGCGAACATCACCACCCGCAGCCAATTCACACCCGAAGACCCTCGCTCGCTCCACCACCCCTATAACAGCACCCGCCAATCCCCCGCCTACTTCCACTGAACGAGTAGACAATCGCCTCTCCTTAACCTCATTGAATTCAGCTGAAAGATTACTGAACAACCAAGATAGAAGTTTGACGAGTAACAGTGAGAGAATCGCCTTGGCTACTCTCTCGACAGCCCAAGGACTAATAGGCGGTATAGGGGGGAAGAAATGACGCCTCTCTAAAGACCCTCTCGTGTGTAACACTATCAGGTTACCTAGGAAAGTTAGAAGGTAATCTGGTGAACAATGGCGCAAAACTTAGAGGTGAATTCACACTTTTTTCGTATGTACTTTTACTATAATAATATATCAGCGTCTTTATATTTCAAAAGACTATATTTTAGCGTCTTTAAATTTCAAAAGACTATATTTCAGCGTCTTCAAATTTCAAAAGACTATATTTCAGCGCCTTTAAATTTCAAAAAACTATATTTCAGCGTCTTCAAATTTCAAAAGACTATATTTCAGCGTCTTTAAATTTCAAAGACTATTAGAACGTCTTTAAATTTTAAATTTCGAAAGATTATTATAAGAACAACCAAGATAGGAGTATGACCAGTAATAGCGAGAGAATTGCCTTAGCTACTCTCTCTCTAGACTGCCCAAGGACTACTAGGGGGTACAGGGGGAGTTGGGGGGGGGGGGGGGCAATGACGCTTCTCTAGCGAGTTTAGAAGGGAATAATTAATATGATTTAAGTCTGTCTCTCCGTATTTTATAAAGAAGAACATCTTAAGTCAGGGAATGAAAAAATCACAATTATAATAATATGATTTCAGTTAGTTTGGTATAATTTTATAGTATCATAACAAAAGAAATCATATAAGTGTGATGCGGCATGCCTTAATTTTTTTCGGTCTTCAATTCACTTTAGTGACGGGCGCTCAAGTGACCACAATTCTTTTTAGGCGCGCTTTACAGTTAAAAAATAAGCAATAAACTTTAAAGGATTTGCCACACTGGATGCGTTCTGCGGTCTGCGGTCAGGTCAAAGTGAACGCTGCCCGCATTATGTATGAACAATATTGTCGGTCAGGGCAATCCGTCAGCGGTCCGGGCAGGGAAACCTGTCAGCGATGCGGGCATGGCAAACAGCGGCATTAGTCTGCGTGAATCAGTGGTGATCAGAGCCCGTAGCCAAGTTGTATTAGGTAAGATATCTAACTTCGTCATCGTATAAAAAATGTATGGGATTGACAATTGTCTTCGACGTCCCTGCCTTCCCCCGCGTTCTTTGATCATACTCGCACGGTCGGATCGCATATCTATACAAAATATATAGAGACCGACAATATTGTTCATACATAATGCGGGCAGCGTTCACTTTGACCTGACCGCAGACCGCAGAACGCATTCAGTGTGGCAAATCCTTAAAATTGTGTGTCTCAAGCTTTTCTATTCCGTACAATTAATAAATATTTAATATGCTGAAAGCTTACTACGAATTATTTCATTAAACTTTTTAATTCAATTTTTACTAATTTAGTCAAAAGCATTTTACCAAAACCCGTGAGAATTGACACTAGTAATAATTAATCTTTAATATCAATATACAATTGATGTAATGTTGTGATTTATGTTTATATAAATAAAATAATTAATAAAAGTAATGTTAGTATAATGTGTATGCATCATTCTTTATAATAATTTAATATTAAGCCAATTTAAAGTTAACCAAAGAAATACATTGTAAATATGATATTAATGTTATAATTAAAGTATAATAATGTATTAATTGAAATTGTAAATAGTTAACAGTGCCATCGTGGTTTGTATATTTTACTGAATTAATAAAATTCTCTGGCTCATAATAATTTAAAAAATGGTTGCCTGTAAAGTCGGTTTTACGGGCGAAGATTTTACGTGACAACGTCTTTTTCTCGGTAGAATATTTATTGATATGAATATAATTAAATTGCACAATAGGAACAAGGAATTGAATGAAAATAAGAATTGCACAAATTTTAACTATAGAAATATATTTTGTTTACTAAAACATTGTACATGTAAACTTAAACTCATCGTAACGTTACCGAGCGTTACACTTTTTCATAAGTGACTCCCAGCCGCAACCTAATTTAAGACGTTGTCACGTCAAAAATATATTTTTTAGACTAAGTCTGAAATACTAAGATGCATTTATCGTTTTTCATCTTAGTTTCATATCTTCAAGTATAAATGTAAAACATGCATAATCATTGTTCAAACTTGATTACTTAGAAGTAATACAACTGTCTTTATATTCTACATGTTCATTCAAATCAAAAGCACAATTTACAGATGAAAAACATATGTTTTTCCTTCTGTTTTTTCTTAAAAAAAAGAACATTAGAAATGGCCATATATTTTGATAACGTTCTAGTTATTATTAATTTATTGTAATGTAAATAAATGTATATAGCACACAATCATAAAAAAATATATAAACATCTCTAGATTGTAAGTTAACAATTGTTCCGTGTATCATGTGCAATATAATTATAATATACATATACCATTAAAGTTGTCTATGTATTAAATTTCGAATTTAATAATGTTAAGACGAAAAATGTACGTATTGGTGTTTTTCAAAGCTTCGATTCCACAATAGGGATGATGACTAATTTTTTTTTCTACGTTTATCAGGTAGATTAACAAAAAGTATTGGACACGTATTTATTCTTTTTTCACATTATATAAACATTGCAGAGATATATTGATTTGAAAAGTCGCATGACGTCACGTTTTAGTACACTTTAAGTGAAAATTCACTAAAAAGTGACGTCACGAGCCCTTACTCCCACTCTTTGACGCGCTATAACTTTGTCATTTTTTGGTTGATTGCCCAAAGAAAAAATACGTGTCCATTATTTTTTGATCATCTAACTGACGGACTAAATAGAATTTCGTTTACTGTACCCAGGTCATCACCCCTATTACCAATTCAAGTATTAAATAGAAATTTTTAAACTGTACTGATTTATGGGGTTGCGGTTGTACCACCGGCGACAGTAAGAGAAGCACCGGTTTTAATGATAATTAATTAATTATAGTTGTTAAATTCTACTTTGGCATCGTGAAATAAACACTATAGAAAATATTGTGTGGTTTTATTGAAATGTTTTCCATGCTTCTAATATGTCTTTACAAGAAAGCTTTCCCATAAATCCAGTATTACCAGGTCCGAATTTAAAAAATCGGGAGGCGTTACAGAAAAAAGCAGCAGAAGAACAGGAGAAATTTCAGAAAAACAGGAGATCTCCTGTAAAATCGGCAGACCTGGCAACCCTGCATAAACCTTAGAACAATTTACTCATTTCATCATCATCATCATCAGCCTATTAATGTCCCCACTGCTGGGGCACAGGCCTTCCCTATGGATGGAATAGGGAGATTGGGCCATGACCCCCCACGCGGGCCCAATGCTGATTGGTGGGTGCTAACGACTGCAGATGCAGCCGGGACCAACGGCTTAACGTGCCTTCCGAAGCACGGAGGAGCTCGAGATAGTAAATTTTTGGTCACCCATCCAATGACCGACCACTGCGAAAGTTACTTAACTTCAACGATCGTAGCCGAACGCGCTAACCACTTGCGCCATCGAGCTCCTCGTTACTCATTTACTAGAGCAAAAATCAATAAATTAATTCAAATATTCTTAACAGTGTCTGAAGGTGTTATTAAGAATCCTGTGTCTTTTAATGTAAACTGGAAATATTTAATGCTAAGGACCAATAAATGCACTAGTAGCATGATGTATCAGCCAGTCATCGCTTCGCTCAACCATATTTGAGAGAGCTTTAGGTTCTCAGATTTTTAAGCTATTGCATAGATTTTATCGCAGGCTGAGCGCGGCGACCGAATCAAGAAATTCCGTAACGAAAAAAACCTGACAATCGATACGGGGCAGTGTGTAAATTTTAACCAACGTTCAACGCATCACCGCGGTCGTCGGTTCAAATCCCGCTCTCGTATTTTTTATTTTTTATTGTATATATTTTTTTAGACCCCAGCACCTGTTCTTATTTTTATTTGTCTCTTTTATTTAGACTTTATAATTATAATTAAAATGTTTGGACTAAAGATGGTAAACTGTTGAGTTTGTGGCGCCGGGCAATGCTATTGTTTGCTGTGCTTGCCCAATAAAATATCACAAGGGCCTGCCTCGCCATCTATTAATATCAAAGAAAAAACTTGAATTAATAAAAAAATACTGCATAAATAAAATAAATAAATAATTATAATTGATAAATGATGCTATGCAATAGCTTTACCGCGGCAGTCCCCGAGTGCCACGTATTTTTTTTATGTTAAAAGTGTGGTAAACAAGAATATGGCCCTCTTGATGGTAAGCGGCCACCATAGCGAGAGCTTGCGATACAAGAAATATCACTCGCGCCATTGCCTACCCTGACTCAATTTCCTATTCCTGGAGCCCTGGAACCAGACCCGTCTTTCCCAGTGGGCACTTTGGGCAAGTGCCTAGTGCCCCGCGATCAATAGAGGGCCCCAGGTTAAATACAAAGTCCCTAGTTCCTCTTAAATCACCAAACGGAAGTCATAGGGGTCCCATTATCCTAATATGCCCAGGGCCTCCGATAGGTCAAAGACGGCACTGCCTGGAACCATACTTACCGACAGAAACACAATGCCACCAAAAGTGTTATTTTACCGTAGTCTTCTGTAAGGTGGACTTTAGTACGTAGGAAGGCCAAAGGGGAAGATCTTCCTCCGAGCTGGGTGATGTTAGCTCGGGGGCCGCGGCCCGACTGATGTTGGTCGGGCATCGTATATATGAACTGTTGGCTACCGAATTTCACTTGCGCGATGTAGGCTTCCTTAAGTTAACGCAGCGCCGGTAGCGCCATCTCTTCAGGAGGCAATTTTCTCCATGTTAGTTATATGTGGGCCATATAGATGTCGCCGCCACAAGTAACGAACCCTATTTTACTGTTAATAAAAAACAGGTAGATATAACATATATTTGTAGTAGGTACAGTCCATAACAATATGCCTTATGTCAATATGCACGAAAATAACTAAAGTAAAGAATCTAAAGAAAATGTTACTAGAAAAAAATCCACTCGGACCAGGCAGCAGACGGGTCTCGAACCCGCACCCTTCGCTATCCGGGCGAATGCACTGACTGTAAGTAAAGGTATTCATTTGACATTGTGGGTTACCTACAATGCG